GATGTGAATACCTTTTTGATTTAAATATATATACTTCTACAGATTTACGAGAATATATTATACCTTTACCTCCCCCCAAACCCTTTCAACCTTTCATTAAATCAACAACAACACAATCAACAACATCCTCCTCAACATCTTCCTCAATTCAATTTAATCAAAATATTTTTACTTTGCCTTTTTTGTTTTTTATTTGGTTTTTAATTATTTTAAGGAATAAATTCTTTTAAAAATAATTTTCAAAAAATTATATCGTCAATTAGCTCATTCTCCCAATTAAATAAAATATTTCTTCTCTTTTTATTAACAATTAATTCTCTTTCTTCTGAAGCAAAAACTGTTTCTAAATTAAGAGTTCCTATATCAAAAACTTTCTTCGGATTTTGCCCTTCTGTCACATAAGAATTGGGAATTTTGAATTTTATTTTGCGAGAGCCAGGCTATAAATTAAAATTAAAAAGTGAAATATTTGTTTAAATATAAACCTTAATTCCGTCATCACAATCATGATAAACCTTTAAATAATTAATTTAAATTTTAGTAATTAATTATTTAATTACCTTAAGTACAACATCTATATTTGTAGTTTCAACAGTTGAACCTTTTAATTGGAAATTTCCGGAAGCATCAGAATATCCTAAATTGGTAAATAGGGAATATAAATAAGAATATATAAATAGTATATAATATATAAATAAGAATCTGTGTTAAAGTCTAAAAGCTAATTAAATATTTTTCAAGATTTTTTTTGTTAAGGGAAAATTCAAAGAAAATATTTATTCAACAGTGGTTTTAATTTTCAAACCTGCTTCCAATAAATCATCAGGATCAGGCCCTAAATAATTATTTAAATATATTTATTTAATTATTTAAATTTATGTATTACCGCTATCCTCATCAAATAATTTAACACGAACATTTCTAGCAGGCGCTTGACCACACAAAAGTTTCCCTTTAACAGCAACCGATTGTGTACGGACAGCAAAAGAATTATTAATAAAATAAAATAATATTAATAAAAATAATATTATTTTGGTTGTATACAAAATATTAAACATATTTACTAAATCTTTGATTTTTTTAAATTTAAATTAACTATTAAAAATTATTTTATATTAACAGAAAATATACACATTGTCTTAATTAAAATTAATTGTGATAAACTTGTATTATTAATTAAATTTATAATTAAATGCATATGTAAATTGTAGTTAATTTTAAATATATTTTGGATTTAGCAATAGATTTTAAAAGTTGTAAATTTTTTTGCTTTTCATATAAAGCTATCCGAATAGTTGGAATCAGGGGTGAGCGCATTGCGTTTTGCGTTTTTTGAGATTCTCTTGCGCTCATCCCTGGTTGAAATTATTAATGAAAGGTTTTCTTAAATTACAGAACTGATTGTCTTCGTTTCTGCTTAATTATTTTAATGTATTAAATGTTGAAACTAAAATGAATAAGCAATCAAGAATTTTCTTTCTTTTATTTAAATAATTCTGTTCATTCTTTTTCAGTTTATCAGTAAATAACATTATTTTTAAGGATTCTTTGTCTCAAAAATTTATTTTTAACATTTTATGACTTTGTTATTTTGTTAAAAGTGCTTTCTAAGATAAGAAATTGTTTTTTTTTAAATAAAAATATTAATAAAAATTAAATCCATTATTTTGATTATTATATAAGTATATTTCTTGAATATAAATTAAATGTAGAGGGAATGACAACACCATAAAACCAGATCAGTTGGATGAGTGCTTCTTTCTATTATTACTTAATAGCAGGTACTTAATCATTAGAAATTTCTACAAATTCTGCGTTCTTGCAAAATATTTTGGTCAATTTGAAATTTTATAAATTATTTAAGCTTTTTCTGTGTATTTTATGGGTCACGGATTCAACAAAGATTTTAGTGCTTTAAAAGATTTCACTAAAATATCTATTTAAAAATATTTTTTAATTTTTATGTTTTTACAGCATATTTTGACAGTTCTTTGCAACATATGATGTGATATATTTTAAAATGTTTCCAACACATAAATCCAAGCTCAAATAACAATCACTAAAATTTGTCGGAAAAATACAATTTGAAAAAGAAATGGAGAAAAACTTCAAAGAAATATAAATAATATATTTTTCTCATTTATCAAAAGTTTATTCATTAAATCAGAACATTTTTTTAATTAATTAATGTAAAATATATAATAACTTTTTTTAATTAACTAGCCAAGCTTCTCTCATTTGTCAGCTCTTTAATTTATAATTCATTAGAAGAGCCTACAAAAAATTTTTAACATTTTCTTCCAAAAATTTGATAAAATAAATTTTAAATTTTTCATTTAAAATTCAGTCTAAATCTTGTTTAAATTTGAACTAAATGTTAAAAATTAAAAATTAATTTTAATATAATATATAAAAATTTTTTTAAATATAATAAAAATATTCAATAAAAAATATTTAATCTTTTTTTATTTAATATAAAATAAATATTAAATATATATTTATTTAATAATAAAAAAATTATGTTTATCCTTTATTTTACGTTCTCCCCCTCAATTCTTATCCCCATTTCTTCCGTTAAACTAAATGGAATTAAAATTTGATTTGGTTATTTTATTATTTGAAAATATATTTTTTTCGTTTTGTCTAATAAATTATGAGACATTTTATTAAAATAAATAAATTTATTTTAAAATTATTTTTTAAAATATTAATTTTTATTTAATCGAAATTTCTTTATTTTTAGAAATAAAATAATTTCTTTTTTTCCTTCAAAGAACTTTTGAAGATTATATTTAATTAAAAATAAAATGACGTTGAAATTTACCAACTAAATAAATTAAAATAGAATTTTTGGAGTTTATTGTAAATTAATTAAATGATTGATTAATTAAATTATTTTATTTAAGAAACCTTGATCAATGATTAATAAATATATTTTTAATATATTAATCATTATCCCTCCTTATTAGTTTTTTAATAAAAATATTAAATATTTAATTTTAAAAATTTATAAAATGTAACATAAAAATATGTTATGAGTAGAGACCGGATTTTTATGCAAATGCATATTTTTTTTTTGCAAACTTGGCATGATGTATAATGCACAAAAAACACTGTTTCCGCATGTTTTGAAAACTTTAGAGAGGGTTTCTATTTGCATATAATGCATATTTTTGCATATTCCGGCCTTTGGTGCATAATGCATATTTTACTGGGTATCACGACTTTTGCGCCGAGAACATTTGCGCCGCGACTTATGCGCCGCGACTTTTGCGCCGGGCGACTTTTGCGCCGCGACTCTTGCGCCGCGACTTTTGCGCCGGGCGACTTATGCGCCGCGACATTTGCGCCGCCATTTTTTAAAAAATCCGGATCCGAAAAATGCCGGATATCCGAAATTTTCAGTTCGGATATCAGATCCGAAGATTTCCAACCATTCGACAACCCTACTAAAGTGAGGTCCGGCTGTAGTTATTGATATATTTTTAATGATAGTGGCGGCGCAAAAGTCGCCCGGCGCAAAAGTCCCGGCGCAAAAGTCCCCCGGCGCAAAAGTCGCTCGGCGCATAAGTCGCGGCGCAAATGTCGCGGCGCATAAGTCGCGGCGCAAATGTTCTCGGCGCAAAAGTCACGGAACCTTTTACTGCATATTTTGAGGTTTTTGGGGAAAATAACTCGAAAATTGCCCAAAATCCTACCAAAAATTGAAAATTTAGTAAAAAAAAATATGTCCAACCCAAAATGTCCCACCACCAAAACGTCTCATCTCAAAATGTCCAATATATTAAAAATACTTAATTTGTCGGACTATACATTTAAAATGAGAGTAATCTTAATAAAAATAGGTGTTTTAATGTTTTTGATTCAAAAAGATCAAAAATTCTAGGTAAAAATTGTATTTTTGCTGCATAATTTTGTGAATATTTTGGTTTATTTGCATATTTTCGTGCATATTTTGTCAATTTTTTATGCATATTATAGTGCATATTTTGCATTTTTTAATGCATAAATATCCGGTCTCTAGTTATGAGATATTAATAAAATATTTCTACAAATTTATTAGACCTTAGTTTTATTCCAAATTTAGTAAATCAAAGGAAAAAACGAAAAAACAAAATTACCTTGCCAAACACTAAGGCAATTTTCGATTTTCTTTAAAGAAATTTTGTTAATAATAATTTATTTCTAATTTTTTATTAAAGGATTATTTAAACTATGTCCTTAAAATTTAATAATTCTCAACAGCAACAAAATATTAATAATTGCAATAAAAAACAAAATAGTTTTACTTGCGTGGAAGCATACAATAAGAATCTTGACAAAGGTAAATAATAATTTTACTTTTATTTTTTTTAAATAATTTACTTAATTAAGAATTAGGGAAACAAGAAGATAATTGTCAAAATCAACAACAACAAAAAATAATTAACAAAAATAAATTAATATTAAAAAGTCAATCCATTATTTCCCCTCGATCTTTTCAAAAAGAAATTCGAGGCCGTCTAGATATTACAAATTATTTGTTGGGTGGAAATACGGCTATTTTGTTGGATATTCCGGAAACTGAATTGGGAGAGATTTTAATAAGGTATGGGGAAAATTTAAGTAGACAAGACTGATTTGAATAAAAATATTTTTTAATACTTTTAAATTACTGACTAAATTTATTATTATATGCAACAGATTTTTCTTTAAAAATTATTTTAATCCTTCTATAAATTTTAAACTTTTTTTAAAAAATAGTTTCAAAATTATTTAAGAGAAAATTAATAATTTTTTAGTAATTTAAAAAAAATTATTATTTAAATAATATATTTATTAATAATATTAAATAAAATAACTATTAAATAACTCAGATTTAAAGTAACTTTGATTTTATTCTTAATAATTAATATTTTTTTAATTATTTAAAAATTATTATTTTTTTAAATATTTAGAATAAGAAATAATAAAATTATTTTAAAAAAGGAATTAAAAATAAAAATTCTAAATTTTAAAGAATGATTGGAGAAAACCCTAAACAATTTTATAACACAACCGAAAAAGATAAATTACCAAAGGACAAAATACAAAAAATTTCTTCAATTAAACAATACATTTCTTTTTCAAATATTTCTGAAAAACTTTTTACAAATAGTTTTAATTTATCAGAAAATTGTGTAGATACTCGAGGTAGGTTAAAATATTATTAAAAGAAAATTATTTTTAATTAAACAGATTTACAAGAATATTTACAGGTATTTACATAATTGTTTTTAATTTTGATTAGTTGACGCTGATTTTTAATTTTTAATAATTTCTTTGTCGAAAACTTCATAAAATTACTTTATTATGAGAAGCAAATTCACTTCACATTAAATTAATTTTAGGCAATTGAAATAGACTTTCATAAAGGTATTGTTGAAGATCAAAATTGGTTTGCGCTTTAGTTAGTTATTCTCTCTTTATTTTAATTAAAAAATATTTTTTCAAGTTGTTCTTTAGAACATATATTTAGTCCTCGAATTTGTTTTGCTCGTTTAGAGGCCCCAACAAATTTTGGGCCTTCTCTAAATTTTGTCAGATTTATTTTACTCGTTATTGGCCCTTTACAACAAGTATAAATTAATTTGAATAAAAATATTTATTCAGTTATTAAGAAAGAAACAAAATCAGCTTTTGAAATTACTCGAACTTTTGGTACATTATTAGCTAATCCAGAATTAAGAAATGAACTTTTAAATGCAAATAATGAACATGAATTTGTTTCTGCAATTTGTGAAAAAGCTAAAAATATTGAAAATGAAGAGGAAATTGAGGAAAAGGAATTGAAAAAAGAGACAAAAACTAATTTAGTTGAGGTAATTTTTAAATAAAGAAGAGTATTAGATAATTAAAATTGTGACGTTCATTGAGGCAATGAAGGCGATGTTCCTACAAAATACCCTAACATTGTAATTCCCTCTTTAAAAGAATCCAGATTGCCCATAATTTTAAAGAAAAATATATTTTTCGCATTTTTTAGTCCTCAAAATGGCATATTGGACGTGGCCTTATCAAAGATTTTAAACGTCGATTACCTCATTACAAAAATGATTTTCTTGATGGAATTGCAGATTCCCGTTCCTTTCAAAAAACAATTAGTTCCGCCGTTTTTCTATTTTTTATTGTTCTTCCAACAGCTATTGCTCTAGGAATGCTTAATGATGAAAATACACACTCAAAAATTAGTAGATAATTTTTAAAAATATTTACCTAATTTAAAATTAATTAAAAAGATGTTAAAAAAGTAATTCTTGGTCAATGGATTGGAGGGTTACTTTTTGGTATATTTGGAGGGCAACTTTTTTTGGTTATATTAACTAGTCCACCAATATCTATTTATATTAAAGGTAATTTATTTTGAAATTATTTTTTTTGAAAATTATTCTCCTTAAAGTAATTGAAAGAATCTCTCATTCAACTAATTTTGATTTTTTCCAAATTTATTCCGGTATTGGTTTGTGGTGCTGTTTTTATTTACTTTTATTTGCTTTATTTGAAGCTGCTAATGTTATGAAATATGCTAAACGGTTATTTTGTTATTTGTTAAAATAAATATTAATTTATTTTTATTTAAAGATCATTAGAAGAATTATTTAGTTTATTTATTGCCTGTACTTTAACTATAGAAGCATTTAAAGCTGCAAAAAGAATGTTAGACAAAGCCTTTCTTCCCCATTGTTCTGAACTTTTTATTAATTCAACCAATCATTTATTGCACTTACTTCAACATCCACCTCCTCCTCATTTAGGCAAAATTCATTATAAATAATTTTTAGTCCATCTAAAACTAGAGACAGGACCGAGACGAGATCTCGATCGAGAAAATAGGTTATCGAGAATCAAGAATTTTTTGATATCTCGATTCTCGAACGACACTCCCAGTCCGGTCTTAATTTAAAACATTCTTAGTTTATAAATTAAAAAATTATTTCATAATTTTTAAGGTAACCCTCCTCCTCCACCTCCCCCTTTCGATCATCCCCCACCTCCCCCTCCTCATCCACCACCACCTCCACCACATCACCCCCATCCACCTCCTCATTTTGATATGTTGAGTTGTGACCGTTCTGTTGGATTACTCTTTTTATTATTAATGTTTGGAACGGCCTGGCTTGCATTAACTCTTGCAAACTTTCGAAAAACAAAATTTTTTGGAAAATATAAACGAGAAATTGGTTTTTAAATTTTATTTATTTATTTAATTTTGTTTATAAAGTTTCGGATTATGCTCTTCCATTAGCCGTTTGTGCAATGACTTTAATTGCAAATTTTTGGTTTGGAGATGTTCCAAGTAAGTTTAAAACATGTTAATTTTAATAACGAGACAATGGATGTATAGAACTTCCCTCCAATCCTTCACATAATTTTTTGAATTTCTAAAATTTTATTTTTAAAAGAGGAAACATTTAATTTGGATGAAAATACCCCAGCATTTAATTTTGGAAAATTTTGGCTGTTACCTTTAACTGGGCATTTACTTTGCTGTTTTTTGGGACTGCCTTTAGCAATACTTTTTGCTATGGACCAAATGCTAGTTACCTCTACTGTAGATAATGCTCAGAATAAGTTTATATTTTTTTAGTCTTCTATTATTATTTCTCGGAATCAGAAAAAAATATAAACATTTTTTCAAAGCAAAAATTACTTTTACCAATTTTTCCAAATAATTTTAGTTTAAAGAAAGGCCCAGCCGCAAATTGGGATTTTATGATTGTTTCATTAATTAATATCCCCCTATCTATATTTTGCCTTCCTTGGATGCATGCAGCTCTACCTCAATCATTTCTTCATTTAAAAGCCCAAGCTGACGTTGAAGATAAATTATTAAATGGAACAGTTCAGCCTACGTAAAAAATAAAGTTTTTTGAGAGAAATAATAATTTATTTAGTATTGTAAAAAATCGGGAATCGAGATTAGCTACACTTTTGGCACATTCATTTATGGTCCCAACATATTTTTTGGCTCTTAATTATTTAAGGCATTTTCCAACATCTGTTTTTAATGGAGTTTTCCTTTTTCTTGCATATTCAAGTACAATTGGCAATGAAATTTGTCAAAGGACTTTGTTACTTTTTACTGAACAGGTATGAGACAATATATTTTTTCAGAAAATTGAGAGTGCCAAAAATCTAAGGTAATTCTTCGGTTGTCGCCCCCCCCCCTTTTTTTTATGTTCTATTTTTTTACATTTTTCATGAAATTTCTATGAACTTTTATATACATTAGAAAGAGCACTTCGAGCTGAGTTGAACGGCATTAGAATCGTCGAAATCTGAATTAAATCAACATAGTTATGAGCAATTGTTTTAATCCCTTTCAACATCACAAAAAACATAACCACAAAGGATTTAGCTTTCATAATTTTGTTCAAAATTGCAAAATCTAACCGATCATAGTACCAATCAACTCAGCTCTTTCGAATGATATATAAATTATCATATGTCAAAGCAAAAAAGCTCAAAATGGTCAGGGAAGCATAAAAAGGGGGGGGGGCGACAACCGAAGAATTCCAAATCTAATTTAAAGCAAGTCAAATATAAACTGACCAATAAAATAAAATTTCAAATATAAATTTTGACGAGTTAATTTTAATAAAAAAATTATTTTATCTATTTAATTAGCGTTCCTATCCACCTACCCACTATATTCGACGCGTTCCTCAAAGAATTGTGCATCTATTTACATTAACCGAATTATTTCAATTGGCTATATTACTTATTATTGGGCACTTTCCCTGGCCAGTTATTCGTCTCTTCTTTCCTCTAGCTTTAATTATTTTTATTCCTCTCAGGTATTTAATTTTTTAAATAATTTAAAAACTTTTATTAAATCAGAGCTCTAATTTTCCCATGCATTTTTAAAGTGGAACACTTGGAAATAATTGATGGAGTTCATTAAATATTTAGAAAAATATACAAATAGTAAAAGAAAAATATTAACATAATGTTTACTAAATAATTTTTAAATGCTTTAATAAGTAGAAAACTTGAAGATTTCTTGGAGTAAAAATTTATAAATTTTTGATTAATTACTATAGAAATGAAAATTATTTATGTACATATTAAAATAGAACATAAAAATATTTTTTGTTCTTTCTTGACTTCAAATTTTCAGTTTTTCTTTTCTTAATTAAAGATTACTTTTGTATGAAACGGAATGAAGGCATTCAAGCATTTAGAACTGTGAAATATTCGTGATTTTGTGGTGGCTTTTTGTAGTGGCCCATTCCAAAACATTTATTCCAAAAATGGGATATAAATTTATTAAAGTTAGCGAAAAACGTTAAAATAGTAAATACATATAAAACAGATTTTCAGAAAGTTAAGAAAGATTTTTCGTAATTTTAGAAAATACAGTTAAGATTAAAAAGATTAAAAATGAGCAAGGGAAATTAAGGGAAAGAGGGAAAGGAGTTGAATGCAAAAAATATGATTTTTGCACAAAATTTTTAAAATAAAAAATATTAGAAAATAAATTGGGTGTAAATGGAAAATAAAAATGTTTAAATATTAAAATTAAATTTCTTTTAAATTTTTTTAACAATCATTTAATTTCAATTCCGTTGATTTGAAAAATACGGTCCAATAGAAACTGTATTTGTTTGTTGTTTAATACCAAAAGCTTTTTTGAAAGCATTTCTGTATTCAGAACTTTAATTTTTAAAAAATATGTTTTTAAATATTTTTAAAAAAAATAAATGATTACTTTGAAGTAAAAAGAATTATGGAATTAATTCCGGCAGAAATTGGATTAATACAAGTAATTAAACTAATTGAATATGTACGTAAAATATCATAAATTGTTTGTGATGGATTTCCTTTATCGTCTTTAAAAATATTAGAAATAGCTGTGGCCATGTTTGTACATAATGTTGTTACAGGATTTCTTGCTGCCGAACCAAATATCCACCCAAAAATAATTATAAAAGAAATTATGAAAACTGAACGGAGAATTCGAAGATTTGGATCGGGAATTGAAGGGGGAGAAGAATTTTGATTATTTGTTTGTTGACTACTTATTTTTTTATTTTTTACTTTCGATTTTAAATAACGCCAATAAATTGCAAAATAAATTAAAAAATAATTTAAGGAAGAAGCAGCCAAAATAAAATATGAGGGAATTGAATTTAAAATATCAGAATATAAACCAGAATTACAGTAAAATAATCTAAAAAAGATAAAATATATTTAAAATTAAAAATTTAATTATTTTACTTATAATATGGAAGATTAAGTATAGTCCAAACATTAAATTCAATTAATACCATTATCATACCAAACAGAATACAAACAATAAAAATTAAAAAGGAAATACGGTGAATTGTAGAAGTACGGATTTTGTGTATTCTTTAATTCAAAATTTAATTTAAAGAATTTATTTTTAATTATTTTTTGATTTTTAAATAAATTATCGGATCTCATTTATAAATACCGTATTTCCTAAAATAAAGCCCCATGCGGCTCTATATTTCAACTAACCACAAACTGGGGCTCAATTTAGGGTGGTTTAGATATAATTTTTCAGACACATAACTGCATTTACTTTTAATGTCTTTAAATATTCTAAATATTTTTTTAAAATTTAATTTTATTTCGCCGTTTATCTTTCATAATTTATTAAAAACTACAAACTTTGTTGGACAAAATATAATCAAAGCTCTTTCCAAAGAAATAAAATAGATAGCCAAAAAGGAGGAATACGTGCCAATTGTTGAAATTAAATGAAAATAAAAACAAACACGCCAATCAACTGTCGCAAAATTCAAAATAAAAGCTACAAAATTTAAAGCAAAAGGAGAAACAGCCAAAATTAGACAAAAAGCATCGAAAACAATTAATAAATTGCACATTCTAACCATTGGACTTTAAAATATAATTTTGAATTTTTTGAAATTTTTAAAAAATAGTTACATTTTTCGAATTGAAACATAAATTAAACAAATATTTAAAATTATAGAAATAATTGTAAATATTCCCGGGATAACCATCCAAGGAACTATTGGTTTAATAAAACTTAATTCATCATAATAGATAAGTGTGCTGTTGTAATAAGATTGTGTCTAAAAATTTTAATTTTTATTTAATTTTATAAAAGTTGATCTTTTTAAATAAAATTTAGAGAAGGAAAGGATAAATTGCTTGCCTCGATTCCTATCGGGCCGTTCACTTTTTTAAGTGCACACAGGAACCACATTAAAAAAGCTAAACCCATTTTGCCTGGCATCGACTCTGGATCTCCAGAAAAGTGCAAGAGTTCGAAGCAAGTAAGGACCCTGACTTCCTTTGAACCTATTACCAAGTTTTTGAAGGTTTTAGTCCTGAAAATTCGAACCAGAATTTTCTCAAATTTTGTGACATACGGGGACTCATACATTTTTCGAAAGTATTAATTTTTAAATTAAAATTTTAGTCAAAAAATATTTTTATACATTCATCTGTTGAGATTTAAAATTATAAGAACATTCTCCAACAATTAATTGATGTGCAATTGTTGGCAAATAAATTGTTAAAAAACTTTTATTTGCTCCTTGATAAATATCTAAAGCATTTAATTTATCAGACAAATTCTCTACATCACTTTTAGTTGTTGTTGTTATGTTTAAATAAGCACAAATATCTCCCGTTCGGTGATAATTTTCCAAAGCTGTTGAATAATTTTGTTGGGTCATTTTTGGGAAAAATGTTAATAAAATTATTTAAAAAATTTTATTTTATATAAGCTCTTTTAATGTAAGGGGTTTTATTAATTTTGAGACTATAAAATAAATAAATCAAGTAAAAAATTTTTTTCTTAATTCTGAGATTTTGAAAATTTAAAAAAAATCTTTTTAACATGCAACATTTCTTTACTTTTTAAATTATTATAAAAAAAAATTCTTTTTTTTGAAAGTTTTAACGTACAAACAATTTTAGCATGCAATTTCTTTTATTTAATTTTTCAATTCATTAATTTTTAACACTAATCTTAAATAATTATATTTTATTTATACTTAGTTGCGTGTTTGTCGAACTTAAATTTATTAAAAATTTTTATAATTCTTGAAAAAGATTTGAATTTTACTCAAATTTAACTTTAAAAATACTTTACACACGCAAGAGTTTTCACGAAATTTATTTTAACAAGAATAAGTACATTGAAACAGTAATATTGGGTCCTATTAAGAATTGACAGGATTAAAAGAGGAAAAATCTTACTAAAAAATTTAATACTTCCTCTCGTTATAATTTTAGATTTAGATAGATTATTTCACTGTTTTAAAATTTGAGTCGTGATTTATTATACATATAATACCTACAAGATAATTAAAAAATAGAGTTTCTATGTATTTTAAAATGTGGGTTAATGTGAAAATTTAATTTAAATATTGTTTTAAACTTTACTTAAATATAAAAATCTGTCCGTTAACCACAAATTTATAACCGGAAATGAAGAGAAGCAAAAAATATTTAATTTTATTTAAGTCCATAGCAGTAATGTTTTGATAGTTTTTGTTTTAATTAAATTTTTCGTTTATTTAAAAGAGAAAACTTAAATAAAAAACAACTTAGGTTAATTTTATTTCTGTATAAAATTTTTAAATTAAATGACGATTTAAAAGAGATCGAAAATTTAAATAAATTAAAAATCGAAAAAATCAAGAGTTTCAGAAAGTCATTTTAATTTTAAATACCTTCATTTATTACATTTCAATATTTTCACTTCCCTCTCTATTCATTTCCTTCATTCTTTGTTTTTTATGTAATTTACTTATCTGTTCAGATAATTCAGCAATTTCAGGCAAGTTTTCTTGTTCCTCACAAACAGCAGCGAATTTACACAACGACAATTCTATCTAAAAAGAAATAAAATTTAAACACTTTAAAATGTTTATGCTAATTTAAGTTTTGCAATTAGAAACCAAAAAATATTTATTATAAATCATAGTTCATTTTAATAAAAAAATCCAACCAATTTTTTGTTTTCATCTTTCTCATTATTTGCCATCTTTTTCAATGTTATCTTTGCTTGTGCAAATTGGCCTTCCTCAACTTGTCTTATCCAATTGAGTTCTTCACGTTTTGCTAGAAAATCACTAGCTTTTTTGCCAGGTTCAGCAAGAAGATGATTAAACATTCCTTTAAATTATTCAAAATTTTAAAAAATTTAAAAATTAAAAAAAACCTTTTTGTTGATACCAAGTATAAAGAAAATCGTAAAAACTAAAAAAATATAAATTTAAAAATCAAAAAGTTAAAAATTCCCCACTTATCATTCTCATATTCTTTTTTGTATCTATTCAATGCTTCCTCACATTGTCGTTTGTCAAGTCTATTGTAGCAGTAAACAACGAGGAAAGTAAAATCCTTAATTTTATTAAAATAATATTTTAATTTAAATTTTAAAAATTATTCATGAAAGATATTTCAAATTCCTTAATTTTCTCAAAAATTAAGTCCAAGACTGATTGCTGCACGAATTTAATAAAAAAATATTTTAATATAAACATACTCTATACTTTTCAGCCAATTCTAAAGCATCCCTTTGATGACCCAACATCGCAAAACGTGAAATAATTTCTGAGTCATTGCGTTGAGCTGAAGATTGTTGCGAAAGAACAAAATGTGCCAATTGTAGACATTGCTCATAAATTGTTGAATGAGGAGTGGGAAGCTGTGCTTGTTCATCTAATGTTGTAACTGCTGATGCAGGAATTGATGAAGTCAAAAAGTCAAGAGCAGTATTTAACTTAAATATTTTAGATTAAATGAAATTCTAAAAAAGATTCATTAATAAATGTAATAAATAATTCCAACATTAGTAACTAGGTAAAAGTCAATAATGCCTTAATCATTATTCAATTGTTTTTGCCTCGAGAAATAAACACCCATTAATTTTATGAATGGACATTTAGCAATTGAGGCAATAAATTTAATTATTTTAAAAATTAGCTAAAAGAAAGGTTCAGATAATCCAAAAGTTTTTTTGAGGAAAGCGTGGAGAGTTTTGATTATAATATAGCTAAAGTTAAATAGTAACATTGTGCGTTAGTGTGTGGGCTTATATTTCAAACTAATTAAAAAGGAAAGAAAAATAAATAGTTTTTTAAACAAACATGAGCGGTAAAATGGGTGAGAAAGTCTGGTTGATTTAGCCATGTCGAAATATCATTTTCTATATGAATTGCAAAATCCTCATGACGAGCATCCTGAACACCTTCTACCAAAGTTAGAAGTAAAGATCCAACCTAACAATAAACCATAATATTATTAAATCAGAGAGAATGAACCTCAATAATAACTTGTGCTTTTGAATGTAAATTATCTAACATTGCCTGATCACCAGCTTGAACAACAGCCGAAACTAATTCATGAAATGTTGAAACCTTAAATGTAAAACTCGGTAATTTATCTAAAAATAAAATTCTTAACCTTGCTATAAACATAATCAGTTGGACTTAAATAAGGATTACTTTTTGGCAAACCAAAACGGATTACATAACTTTTTGCCAATTCATTCATTGCTCGGTTGACCAAAGGCAAGGATTGACCTAATTAAGTTACAAAGAAAAATAAAAAGACAAACTGTGCTCGCTAAGCCATCTAAATGTTGCAATCATCGACACTAATTTTTCACCTAATTCGGCTATAACAGCCTTGCCACTACGCATTTGAAAAGATTGTAATGGATACTCAATCTGAAAATAAAGGATCTGAAATGAGAAAGACAAAACAAGGTCAAAGGATCCCATAGACTAAAGATACATCATATCATCTACTCAGAAAAGCAAGAATAGCGCAGATAATGAAAACCCAATAAAAACAAAATAAAAATTAACCATATCAGTAAGCTTGTATGTACGCAGGAAAAGTACAAACATCTTGTAAAAGGACAATTTAATTTGGAGTTGACGCAATAGAAGTGTGAATTTCTTTGTTTCTGCCAATTCTCTCAAAAGCTTTTGTTGTTCTTTAATTCAGCAAAAAGTTAAATAACATTAAAATAATTAAACCATTCGTAATTAAAGAATCAGATACAAATCCCCAACGCTCATCCTCTTTTGCCATAGGTTGTCTATCGAGAAAATAAAGCAATAAATCAACAGCTAATTCTGACAATCCGTCATAATGTTTCTCCTAAAATTAAAAAATTTATTGGAATTTATTTGACAACTTCACAAACTTGTTGATGTGAAGCTGATGCAGTCTCAGAACCACCAGAACTCTGCATATCATTAAGCATGTCACGCAATAATTTCTTGGACCGTTTCTTTAAAATTTAATCGTTAATTTGTTTTGAAATCTAATTTAACAAACAATGTTCTTGGCACAAAACTCAACAAAAGCATCCTTCAAACGATGTTCACTTCCAGTAACAGTAAACTTCTCTTGTGTGTCCAACTGATGTAAAATTTCTTTGTGCTAAAATTAAAGTTAAGGTATTAAATTTAAATAATTTAATAAATACTTTCTTCCAAAAAGTTAAGTCATAATGACTGGGAAGTCGTTGAACAGTGCAAACACCACCGTCTTTGAGAACCAAAACAGCAGATCCATAAATTGCAGCAGACTATAAAAAACAAAAATTTTGAATTTAAAGACTCAACTTACGCCAAAAAGTGTGTCACCGGTGTATTGCCGAATCGGGCTTTTTGTATTGTTGGTTGCATAGCTTTCGAGAATAAAAAAAGAAACACCTAAAATTAATGATTTTAACAAGACAAAAATAAACAAAACGTGATTTGGCAGCATAATGACGAATGAGAACAAAAGAATCATAAAAAGCGACACAACATTCATCAGTACTAGGAGAGAGTAATTGCGCCGTTTGTAGACGTTTATCCTTAAAAATTATTTCAACGTTATTCAAACTCCATTCTATTTATTAAAAAACATTATTACCATCCCGACAGCAGATAGAGACTCTGGTAATTCAATTTCAGTTAAGGTACGAAGATTGCGCTGGATTGCATCTTTTTCAACTTTTTCCTCATAGTAACCTAATAAAATTAAAACAAATATAGTATTAACGTTAATTAAAAACTAACCAATAAAAAGCTTTCTATCAACCAAGTAATCTCTCCCACTAACTTCACTAGACTTCTTTTCGCCTACCAAAAGCATAAGAATTCCATTCAAATGTTGAATTGCATCGACAATACTAAAATGACGTCTTTCAGAGCGAGAACAGTTCTTTAAATTGAAAAAATGAAATGAAAAAATTTTTAAATGGATACTTTATTGAATTTAATAAGAGCCAAATCAGCAATATCAACTTCATGATCCAAAGCTTTTTGATCAAAAATTGAGTAAAAGCGAAGGCAACGACGCAGAACATTAACAACGTCTGAACGTGGGCTCATTTTTCCATGAACAAAAATTGTTTTCAAAATCCTAAAATAAAATTCAAAAAATGATTTTTTCTTAAATATTTAAAATCCTCTTTCCAAACCTTTCCTTCTCTGCAGTCAAACTTCCAAAAAGCAAAAGAGACATTCGATGTCCAATTCCTCCCCCGGGTCCACCAACATCCAGAGGGCGTGTTGCTAATCGATCAGGCTGGTCCAATCCATGGAAAAGGTCAATAATGTGAAAAGAACCAGTTGTTGTTGTCAAAAGAAATCGATGAACATTCTCTTCAAAAAAAACATTTAAAAAATCGAATTTATTTAAAATTGTAACCTTGTGAGTTGATTTGTTGAATAGAATGGGCAACTTCATTATTCAGAAGACATTGTTCATTTCGTGGTTGTTTGCCCAGTTCACTCCAATATCTGAGATGGCCTTCAGGTGAAATTGCAAGCAAACTCATATATTTGGAAGCTTGACCTGTTAAATTTGAAAATTAAACCTTTGGGCAATGCCTTCAATAATATATAAATTCAACTAATTTCCCCTAAAGCAGAAGTCTGAAACAACCAGAAAACATGTTTCTGTGTGTTATATATAATGATAATGAACTCTTTGATAAATTTTAATAATTAAAAAATTATTTACTCTTGTTGAAAAGGCAAACAAGCTGCACAGAATATTTCAAACCAGTAGTAGGCAACTCCATATGAGTTGCATGCGGAATTCCAGATTCCTTAATAATGATAATAGTAAACTATAAAAACCTTTGTAAAATAAATCCTACAGATTTTGTAAACGACCAAACATAAATATGATTATTGCAGATAAGCAGACATCTTCCCAACGGAGTGACGGTAGCACAAATATTAGCCTTCCTCTTGTCAGCTATTTTAATAATTATTAATTTAAAATTATAAAAAATTACTCACTGTCATTAAGCAATTCACGTACTGTGCTAGGATATGGAGCTTCATATGGATCAATAAAAAGTTTTAAATCGGCCATTTATTGCAATACAATGTTTTCAGTTTTATTTCAATTTCTGAAAAAAATTTTTCATTGAATAGGCAAAAATAAAAAAATAAGTTGAAAAATTAGTCATTAAAAATCCACATAAATTACAACGAAATGCAAACCACAAAAATTACAAAAAATATACTTTATTTATTTAAAAAGCATTATTTATGTAGATATTAAACATTTTCCGAAAACAAAAATACTTGCAAAGTAAACACAATATTTTACCAACGACAAAAATAATTATGCGATAAAATCTATCAAACTTTGTCTTTTAATAGTATTTATCTGTGACATTTATTAAAAATTCACTTGCCATGGCGAAATGTCTAGTGGCGAGGAATTGATGATCAAATATTTGACCAACTCATTATTGGGAGTAGGGATCATTGAGTCCCGCCGGTTGAGTCCCTGAGCCATATTTTGGGCCATAACTTTTTAAGTTTTCAATGAATTAGAATAAATCTTTTATCATTCGAAAGCCCTGGATGTGAGGATTATTTTTGCTAACTACATTGATTTGATCAGATTATCCTACTAAAAGTTACATCCAGTTAAGTGCGCGTAATCGTGATTTTTGACCTTTATTAAAATGTAACTTTTTGTATGTTGATCTGATCAGATCAATCCTGATAGATAAAATAATACTTACATCAAGAGCTTTCGATTAAAATATTAATTAACTAAATTGATTAAGAATTGGAAAAGTTATGGTCCAAAATGTGGCTCCGGGACTCAACCGGCGGGACTCAATGATCCTGTTCCGCATTATTGGCCAATATTTGTTCAATTGAGTCCTGACTCAACTGAGTCCGGGCCCTATAAATCAAGAAGGGGTGGATAATTTTTAATGTTCTTGGTACCATTGGATAGAGCATTAAATGGACTACAAGATACCATAAAATCAGAATTTTCGATCGATTAATAAAAAAGTTATGATCCAAAAACTAACTTTTTAAAAAATCTGATTTTTCGGCACTTTATCGATCGTAGCTTTTTTAACCGTCTGCCAAAAATTTTGATTTTTTGGGGTATTGTAGCCTATTTAATGCTCTATCCAAAGGGGTAGGGGACGATTCAGTATCGCCGATTCAGTATCGCCAATTCAGTATCGCCGATTCAGTATTGGCCGATTCAGTATTTGGCTTTTTTGGCCATAACTTTTTGCTCGATCAATATTGTGGGAATTATTATATATGATTTGATAGGCCTCGGGGTGCTGCATCTTTTTCATAATTGGACTGACCTGATCTTATCACTCTACAAAAAGTTATCACTGATAAACGACGTCACAGGCATAAAGAATCGGTTTTCACGCTGTAACTTTTTTTGTGATCATCAGATCAGATCGGGCCAATTATGAAAAAGATGTCGAATCTTGAGACCTTTCGAATGATATGAGAATTATTCAAATCGGTCGAATATCAGGAAAGTTATGGCCATATACTGAATCGGCGGATACTGAATCGGCGATACTGATCGTCCTTAACCGATCCAAAGATACCAAGAACAAAAAAAAAGTGAACAGCCCTTCATAAGTTATAGGGCCCGGGACTTGTTTGAGTCGGGACTCAGTTGAGGTTTATCCCTATAAATTTTAAATAATTTTTTCAATTTTTAACAAAAATTAAATTTTTAGGAAGAAAAGGGAAGATATGCAAAATAAAAATTTATCCATTTATGCCCTTCTTTTACAATTATTTATTTTTCATTTTATTAATTTTGTCACATCAATCCATTCAAATAAAAATGAATTAAGAAAATCGACAATTAAAATTCAAGGATATTCTCCTGAACAAGTAGATTATTTAATTAAAAAATATTTAAATTTTATTTTTTAGAATGATGATTATGTGTCTGTGGCGATGAAAGCTGAACCTGGTTATATTGGTATATTTTTAAAAAATAATTAAAATATTTTGTATTGAATTCTGAAAGAAATTATTTAGTGGGTATTTAAATTAGAATTATTTTTATCTTCTTAAGTAATTAAAAAATGTTTTTTGTTTTATGAACTTGACGTCTCAATTATTTTAATATATTTTTTATTTTAGTAAAATTTGAGCCGGCTGCCCATGCTGATCGAGTCCACCACATGTTTGTTTATTTTTTTGATAATTGAATTTTCTGTTTTAGTTATACTGATTTTTCTTTTTTATTTTTAAATTAATTTTTTCAGGCTTCTTTACGGTTGTACAACTCCAGCTTATACGGACAAAAACTTTTGGAGAGGTTTCAATATTTTTTAAAATTCTTAAATTATTTTCTAAGAAAAGGTGGTGCAACGTGTAGCACTGGAAATCATATTTTATATGCTTGGGTTTTTTTTAATTAAAAGAAAATTATTTTTTTAATTTTTGAGGCGAGAAATGCACCTCCTCTTGTATTGCCAGAAAATGTTGGATTTGCTGTTGGTAATGAAGGTGATTCTGTTCAATATATTATTTTACAGTGAGTTTTTTAAATTGTTAATTTAATCTTTAAAAAATATGGGGGATACTCACCTTGTTTTAACTTGCTTGTTTTTACCAGTTGGGAGTATCTTTGTTTCTTTCATAAAATTTTTGATTTAAAAGACGGACAAAAATTTTCGGAGAGGTCTCAATATTTTTTAAAAATTTTCTAGTAACCCTTTTTCCAGCTCTAGTAACCCAAGATCTTAAATTTAATTTCCACAATTAAATTTGGAAAAAAACCCAGTTTAATTTTAAAATTATTAAAATAATTTTCAGAATTCATTATGCAACGCCATTTGAAGGCAATGTGATAGACTTTTCTGGTTTTTTCTTTCTCCTTTTTAATTATATTTTTTTTATTTTTAGGAGTTACTTTACATTTAACAAGTCAAAAACCTCAATATATTGCTGGAGTTTATTTATTTGTTAGTGGAATGCCTATACAACCTGGCCATTCTGCTTTTTATACAAATGTTAGCTGTAGCTATAATTCTGATACAAAACTATATCCTTTTGCGTAAGTGAATTCTAAATATAATATTTTTCTCTTTCATTAAAAGAAAAGGTTTAGGTTTTTAAAGTTTTGAATACTCATGAACCTTTTCCAATTTTTGGCTTGTTTGGTTTGTCCCAGTTAAATAATCAAACTGGTGATCTAACATTAGATCCCTAATTTTAGTTTTATTTTGAGTAGTCTGTCCATTCCTGTCTTTATTCTAGTAACCCTTTTCTCGATTTTAAATATTATTTTTTGATTTTTATCTTAACTTTCAAGTTTCCGAACGCATACACATGAAATGGGAAGACTTGTTTCTGCTTATGTTAAAAAATCTAAAACTAAGAAGTGGTTACAAATCGGGAAGCGTAACCCATTGTGGCCACAGGTTTTTTTCTTTCTAAAATAAAATTTTGTTAACTTTTTCAGCTTTTCCAATTAAGAGAGACTCCTTTAGTTATTGAAAACGGAGACTTTTTAGCTGCTATTTGGTTAGTTCCGAGAATAAAAATATTTTTAAATAATTTTATAGTCGTTATGACTCAAGTGATAAAACAGAAGAAGTTCCAATGGGAAGCATGGGATCAAATGAAATGTGTAATTTTTACATGATGTATTACCAAGACAGAAATGACCCTGACCCATTCCCTTATGGATCTGGATGTTTTGGTAATTCGGCATCTTTTCCAGCAAATGAGTACCCCGAAGGTAAAATATTTTTTAAAATAATTTTAAATTTGTTATTTTTATTAAAGAAGGAACGAAGCTTTTACCTCCACACCCCGAATTGACACATCAGGCAAATCACAGTGCAGAGCCATTTGGGGTATTAGAACGCCATAGAATTGATGAATTGGCTGATATACAGTTGGGACAGATTGCAGGTCTAACATTTGATCAAAATGGAAAGTTGGTTGTATTTCATCGTGCTGGTAGATTTTGGAATCAAAAGTCAGTTCTTGTTAGTTTAATGTGTTTATTTGACTAAAATATTCTTTTGATTCTCCTAAACGAAAAATTTGCTTTAATCCTCTTTTTGGATCATTAAAAAATTTTTATTTTATTTTTAGCACTTTTAATGAAAATAATGTTTTTACTGATAAAACGCCTATTAATGATCCAGTCATTTTAATTGTCAACGTTGAAGATAATGAAAAACCTAAATTGTTGGCTAAATATGGTGAAAAACGGTTAGTTACTAAAATTTTGTTAATTTAATTATTCTAATAATTTTGAAGTTTTTATCTTCCACATGGTATTTTTGTTGATCACAATGGATTTATTTATACTACAGACGTTGGATCTCATCAAGTGATTAAGTGGCAAATTAATAATGGTATAAAATAAATGAAAGATTATTTTGTTAGTTTTTTAGGGTTAATGAAGGGGATCGGAAATTGACATTTTAACAGGAATGATAAAATCTGCTTTAAATATTTGTTTAATTTTCTATTTATTTCTTAGGAGAAATTAAACAAGTTTGGAGTTTGGGCGTTAAATTCATGCCTGGTAATATATTTTCTTTAAAAACATGACCATTCTTATTTAAAATTCAGGTTCTGATAAAAATCATTTTTGTAAGCCGGCAGGTGTTGTAGTTTCTAAAATGGATGGTTCTGTCTATGTTGCTGATGGTTATTGCAATAATAGAGTGAGTTAACTTTAAAAATTAAAGCATATTTTGTAATAAACATTTTTAGGTTGTAAAATTTTCAAGTGAAGGACGCTTTATTTCTCAATTTGGCGAATTCAATTCTGGTAGATCTCGGCTTGGTCAATTTTCCCTTCCACACGATATTACACTTGTAATTATAATTTTAACTAAATTATAAATTTAATTCTTTAAAGGATGAACAAGGAGGACGTATTTTTGTTGCTGATCGGGAAAATGGGAGGACTCAAGTATTTTCGATTTCTGACCATAAACCGCTATTTGACATAAAAAATCCAAATTTCTATTCAACTGTTTATTCTGTCTACTATCAACAGGGTTTGTAAAAATTTTGAGAAAATTTTTTTGATTGATAACTTTTAAGGTATTGGCCTACTTTTCGTTCCGGGATTCTCTCCGCCAACACAAGATGGAAAGCCTCGACAAATTCAAGTTTATGTTGTACAGCCAAATTCAACACACGTTCAATACGCTTTCCGCCCCCAATCCGGAGATTTCCAATTACCTCATGTCCTTAGGGCGAATGGTAATAATGTTTGGGTGGGCGAAATAGCTGGAAGTCGTGGTATTCTTTGGCATTTTGAGATTCACTCGAGCAAGATTGTACCTTCATTAAATGCTTCAAAACAGAAAGAGGGTGGGAAAAAATTGATAAATGGAAATGAATCACAAAGAGGAAATATAAGAAAATTGGAAAATGGAGGTAAGTAAACTTGAAGGGATATTTGTTACGAAAAGATACGAATATAGTTAAACAATAGATTGTTTAAAAATTACAAAATTTTAAAATTACTGGGTAAGGGATACTTCTTAAAAATAAAAACACAAAATATTTCAGACTTTAATTAATTTTTATATTTTAGTTTCAATCCCTCTTCATCCCCAATCACTTGCAACGAGAAATTTTGCCGTTGGCTCGACTTTAGTTTTTATAATTCTTTTCTTCTCAATATGCTTTGCTGTCTATTTAATTTATTGGAGTTTTTGCCATGCAAAAGAGCAAGATTTATTTGATAAACAGGCACTTAATTATTTAAAAATTTATTAAATTATAAAAACATTAAGGGCTTCAAGCCATTGAAAACGTCTGATTTGGCTGATGTGGAACAAGACTTTACCAGTTCGGACAGTGAAGACGAAATTTTGGAGGGAAGTCGGAAAAGGCAGGAGTCGGGATTTTAATTTCTTAATTGGGTGGCTTTTTTGAGTGGTTCTAATTTTTTGTTTTGTATATTTAAATCTGTGATTTAGTAGTTTTACTTACACTCACTTTACATTTAATATTTTATAGTGCTAACTTAAATTGTGCTACTTCCCTATCTAATAGGAGCTTTCATTTTCCTACTTTCCCTTATCAATTGTTATTTTCTTATTAATTTTTATTGGGGATTGGACGGATATGCTGCTACTTGAGACTTTTTTCGAGTTATCGAAACAATCTTTCCGAATTTCCTAAGAAAAATCGAGTCTAGTTTCGATATAAGTTTAATTTATTTAACTTCAAAAAGGCTCATTGGTATTTTCTTGTCCAATCCATAAATTCTATGAAAGCCCCCTCCCTCTTTTATTTCATCGAATAGAAAATTAACCAGAATTTTCAAAAGTAAAATATTTGTAACAAATTTTGCTTTAACAAATATATTTTATTCGATGAAATTTAAATTTTATACCGGTTTAATAATTTGCAAGGTTCTATTGAATTACTTAAAATATTACACATATATAACCTTAATATTTCAATTGTGAGGCATTCTAAATAAAACTATATATTAGTTAAATATTTAGTTTTTTTCTTCATGTTCACAAAAATTTTTTTTTGAATTTTATCACCTAATAATATGAAATAAAAAGAATAAATTTTTTTTAATTTAACAAATAATTAATTATTATTGTACTCTACAAATTCCAGACTTTTTAATTTTTTCTGCTTTTTCTTGTTTTTTCCTTTTCCCATTTTCTTGTTTTACTTCTTTATTATAATTATTCTCGATATACCCGTTATTATTTGCTTTTAATTGATTTTTAATCTTTCCATTTTGCTGCTGTTCTGTATTTTGGAATTGGCGAATTTGTCGAATTAATGTGTGAAATATTTGATCAACATTTTGACGGAATTTAGCTGATGATTCAATATAAGGGATTTTAAGATTAGCTGCCAAATCTTCAGCTTCCAGTCGGGAAATCTGATTTAAAATTAATTTGAATTTAAATTTTAAATAAAAAAAGGGGATCGAGTGAAGATAAAGTGCCCGTGCTTTTTCCCCATAGACTTGACTGTTTGCAGTTACGTAAGAATGTGGGCTTTATCAAAATTCCCATTTTTACCTCTCTTTCCAATTCCAAGTCACATTTATTTCCAACCAAAAGCATAGGCAAATTTTTGCAATTATTGCAGTTTTCAATAAATTCTCTCAATTTGAGCATATATTCAAGACTAGATCTACTAGCAACAGAAAAAACTAAAAGAAATCCATCACCAGTTTGAAAATGGGGTTCACGCATTTCAGCAAATTCATCTTGCCCTGCTGTGTCTACAACTAAAAAAATAACTTTAATTTAAATAATTTTTAATTTTATTTAAAATTTTAACAACCAAAATATTTTAATTTAATTACCTTCCACTTTATAAAGTACATCATCAACAAAACAATTTTTTATATAAATATCAGAAATGGTCGGGTCATGTTCAGTGATAAAATATTGTTGAACAAACTACATATAAATAAATAAATAATTTATTACTAAAATTTAAGTTCCAATTTTATGTTAAATAATTTTTCAAAATAATTTTACGTTAAAAATTCTGATAAAAATAATAATTTTATTAAAGTTAAGAATTTTATTTTATTTAGACAAATATATTTTTCCCAAATTTCTTACCTGTATAGTTAAAGAAGATTTTCCAACACAACCAGAACCAACCAAAACAATTTTTAATTTTAAAGGAATTGTTGATTGTTTTTGACAATTTTCTTTTTGTTCTCTTTTTTGTTTTTTATTTTTTGTTAAAGTTTTCCCGTTTGTTTTGTTATTTAATTGTTTTTGTAAAGATGAAGTTGTGAATTCGTTATTTAAATCTGAAGAAGGTAAAATTAAAGGCATTTGCCAAGAAGTGGAGGGAAGTTGGTGATGATTGGTGTTGTTGGTTGTGTTTATATTATTATTTGTTTTTTGTTGTTTTTGAGAAAGTTTGGACTTGAAATTATTATTTTTTTAATCAATTTATGATTTGGTAGGTTTAATAAAAAATAAAGGTATGGGCCATAGATGGAGGAAATATTGAGAATTAAAAGTTGGAGGTGTAAGGATGATTAATCCTGTCAGCATTTGCAACGCTTAGGTTGGGGGGGGGGGGGGGGTTAAATGATCAAAAGGAGAAAAGCGAAAGGAAAAGTTGTCCTCGGTAGCTCACTCATTTGGTAGAGCACCTGCAAAAGTTTAATCGAGGCCAAGGAGCACTGTCAGCAGTGTTACAGGTTCGATTCCCTTTCGATGCCTAGATTTTTGCGAAATTATTACCGAGGAACAAATGGTGGGAAAGATATTCTATCAATCAAAAAAACCAAAAAACCACAATTCTTTAGCCAAAATTTGTTTTCAAATAAATAATTACATCATTTTTAGGTATATATAAATTTGTAGGTAAATGAAGTCGATCGACATCATCAAATACAAACTGAACATGATGATTATTACCATTATTTTGTTTAGTTGAAAACCCATTTTGTTGTTGATTAGTTAATTTATTCATTTATTTTAATTAAAAATTATTGGGAAATAAATACAAAAAACATTCTAAAAATAAATTTAAAATCAAAGAAAGATTAATTTATTTTTGAGTTTTTTAAATTATTTAGTATATTTATTTTAAATTTAAAAAGAATAAATCTAAAAAATTCTTTTTAATTTTCACTTTACGTTAAAAATTTTTAAGGATAATATATTTATTTATTTAATATATTTTTAAAATAAATATTTTGTATGTGTTCAATAATCTTTTCCCATTTAGAGGAATAAAGGAAAGAAAAAATGTGAATCATTACAAAAAAATATTTTTATTTGTTTGTAAAAATATTTTTATAAAATAAATAATAAATTCCAACAAACAAAAAACAAATAAAAATAAATAAAATAATCATTTATGATTTACACAATTCGAAATTAATTATGAATAATATTTTTAATATTTTTAAAAAATAAACAAATCAGTAAAAAAATTTAATTTACTCAATTTATTTTTTTTGAAGTTTATAAAAATAATTTTTTTTTATTTTTACTAATTTTATTTTTATTTTCTCTACATATATTTACAAATTGATTCCAATTTAAATTTGTTTGATAAAAAATAATAAAGACAAAAATGTGAGACTACATATTTATTTTAAGTGTAAATTTTTTTAAATTTAATTGAAGAAATTAAAATAATACAGAAAACAAAAATATCTTTTAAATTAAAATAAAATTAAAGATTCATTAAAATTTGTAAATTAAATAAGGCTATCTGACTAGAGATTTTCCCTCATTTTATAATTTTTTGGTGCTAAAGGATAAACAAAACTTACCTATTTAATAATCCCTTAATTTTGTTTAATAAAAACAAGAAATAAATTTTAAAATTTCCAGCTGTGATTGGTCAAAAATTAATTTTAAAACCACCTAGCGGCAAAAATATTCTTAAATTAAATTAAAGACTTTTATGTATTTTAAAATAATTTTAAAAAATGAATTTAATTTAATAAAAAAGATAATTTTTTGTTTTTAAATTTTCCTTATTTATTGTCTTTTAAAAAAAAATAAATGAGAATTAATAATTTAATATTAATAAAAATAATATTTTTCTTCAAAAATTCTCGATATTGATAAAACAAAAAATAAAAGGAACACACACAAGTAGTGGAATGAATAAATAAATAAATAAATAAATAAATAAATAAATAAATAAATAAATAAATAAATAAATAAATAAATAAATAAATAAATAAATAAATAAATAAATAAATAAATAAATAAATAAATAAATAAATAAATAAATAAATAAATAAATAAATAAATAAATAAATAAATAAATAAATAAATAAATAAATAAATAAATAAATAAATAAATAAATAAATAAATAAATAAATAAATAAATAAATAAATAAATAAATAAATAAATAAATAAATAAATAAATAAATAAATAAATAAATAAATAAATAAATAAATAAATAAATAAATAAATAAATAAATAAATAAATAAATAAATAAATAAATAAATAAATAAATAAATAAATAAATAAATAAATAAATAAATAAATAAATAAATAAATAAATAAATAAATAAATAAATAAATAAATAAATAAATAAATAAATAAATAAATAAATAAATAAATAAATAAATAAATAAATAAATAAATAAATAAATAAATAAATAAATAAATAAATAAATAAATAAATAAATAAATAAATAAATAAATAAATAAATAAATAAATAAATAAATAAATAAATAAATAAATAAATAAATAAATAAATAAATAAATAAATAAATAAATAAATAAATAAATAAATAAATAAATAAATAAATAAATAAATAAATAAATAAATAAATAAATAAATAAATAAATAAATAAATAAATAAATAAATAAATAAATAAATAAATAAATAAATAAATAAATAAATAAATAAATAAATAAATAAATAAATAAATAAATAAATAAATAAATAAATAAATAAATAAATAAATAAATAAATAAATAAATAAATAAATAAATAAATAAATAAATAAATAAATAAATAAATAAATAAATAAATAAATAAATAAATAAATAAATAAATAAATAAATAAATAAATAAATAAATAAATAAATAAATAAATAAATAAATAAATAAATAAATAAATAAATAAATAAATAAATAAATAAATAAATAAATAAATAAATAAATAAATAAATAAATAAATAAATAAATAAATAAATAAATAAATAAATAAATAAATAAATAAATAAATAAATAAATAAATAAATAAATAAATAAATAAATAAATAAATAAATAAATAAATAAATAAATAAATAAATAAATAAATAAATAAATAAATAAATAAATAAATAAATAAATAAATAAATAAATAAATAAATAAATAAATAAATAAATAAATAAATAAATAAATAAATAAATAAATAAATAAATAAATAAATAAATAAATAAATAAATAAATAAATAAATAAATAAATAAATAAATAAATAAATAAATAAATAAATAAATAAATAAATAAATAAATAAATAAATAAATAAATAAATAAATAAATAAATAAATAAATAAATAAATAAATAAATAAATAAATAAATAAATAAATAAATAAATAAATAAATAAATAAATAAATAAATAAATAAATAAATAAATAAATGAGAGAAAATAAAAATATTATTCATTTAATTGTTATTGTCTAAATGAAGATGGATATATACTTATTCTACACAATACAAAAGCGATGCTAGTAATAATAAGTAGAGGAGAATATATATGTGATTTTGTGGTTGGAAAGTGGTTGTTGGAAAGTAGAGGGGAGAGGGGGAAAGGCTAAAATGAAGAAAAAAATAAAAGGAAATTGGATTGTCACAAAATAGAGGGGGAAAGGAGAAAGGAGAAGAATGATTTTCCATGTGAATATATTTATTTAATTAAGATTAAAGAATTAATTATTTTTGTAAAAAGTGTTACAATTTTGCAATTAAAGTATTAAAAAGATAAATCAAAATTATTAGGCATACCGTATATGCTCGAATAATCACCCTGGGTAATTATTGTTTCAACCTCTCGCTGGAGGGGGTAATTAAAAGAGCGGGGGTAATTATTCGAGAGAGGGTAATTAATAGAGCATATACGGTAAGTAACATGTATTGCCCATACATGTAACAATTCCATAAATTTTTCTCTCAACATAAGAAATACTTATGAAAAATTTTAAAAATTATTTTTAAAATATGTGTACATATTCGAAACAAAAATTCTCAAAAAAACTATTTTTATTTTTTTATAAACGAGCACTTGAACTTCCACTTGAAAGTTATTTTTTTTAAACTACATATGTAATACTTTAAATATGAATGTATGATAGAAGAAATGAGCAACCAACTTTTAAATGCAGAACATTTTTGGTCGTTCATGAGGATTTAAACAAAAATAATTTTCGAAAAACAAATAAAATTTTAGCGAACAAATAAAAACTTCTTTATTTTGTCAATAACTAAATAGCTAAGTATTTTTATTTTTACTAAGAATTGAAAGTTAAATAATATTAAATATTTTTTTCTGAAGTTTATTAGAGGACAAAATTTATTTTCAATAATTTTTTAACTAAAAAAAATAAATTTTATATAAAAAATAAAACTATAATTCACAAAATTAATCATAATTTTAACTCTGAATAACCTAAAAATTTGGAAATATTTTGTTGCTTCTTCTTTTGTCATAGAGAGAATCGAAGATTTATATTTCTTTTGTCTTTCTTTACAAAAAAAGACAAAAGATTAAAAGAAAACCAAAAATAACGGAAGGGCACAAATATTTAGTTAAAAAAACTAAAAATGGCCAAAAAAGAGTAGAAAAGTTAAATAAATATATTTTTGGTTACAAACAAGAAAAATATATAAAAATAAATGTTTTTAACGCCGTTAACTAAAAAAGGGAAACTAAAATAGAATTTTCTATTGTTTGAATTGAAAAATGAAAAAAAGTATAAAAAAGGCGAAAAAGTGAAAGAACAAAAAATGGCAAATTTTGTGTAAAATTGGAAAGGGATTTTTTGAAAAAATATTGGGGAATTAAGTATAACTTTTAATATAAAATGAATTTATTGAATAAAACTGACAGTTTAATTAAATTTATGTCGAAATTTATATGTTGAGAAAACATTCCAAGATTGAAGGTCGGGAATGACAACACAACTGCTTTAATTGCTCGCGGGTTCTGCGCAAGAATCTGTGCACAGAACACAGAATTTGTTTTAATTATTCCACAGATCTTTGTGTAAATAAAGGAGAAATGCAGTTGAATGTAATTAAAGGAAGGAAAGAAGGCTCTACCCAAATTGCTTGATGTCCATTGTGCTCCCTCTTCTT